CTATCTATCTATCTATCTATCTATCTATCTATCTATCTATCTATCTATCTATCTATCTATCTATCTATCTATCTATCTATCTATCTATCTTTTTGAAATAGCAAACCTTAATTGTCAGAGAAACTAATTGAGAGTCAAAGAAAAAAAAAGCATAAAACAACATAAAAGTTGTAAATGCAAAAACACACAGATACACATGTTAATATAGACTTTCAGCAGTCCCCACTTCCCACATCAGCTGCTTTATTGCTCACTGACATTTTCTCCCCTTCCTGTCCTCCTGTCTCAATTTTTCCTTGCTGCTGAGCACACACTCTCGATCCAACACATGCACATACCCATATAGAGAGACACATGAACCAAAACACAGACAAGAAATACACACCAGAATATGATTTGTGTTGCTTAGCTAGCACAGCCAATTTTTGAATTCTACGCCCAACATGCTTTCTTATACCAGTAGTTTCTTTCTTCAGTATGTAGTTACTCACTTGTGCCCTTTGGAATAATTACCTTATATTTTTTCCCCCCGTCTCTAGAACCACTGCGGGTCACCCTGTCTCCAAAGAACCTGAAGACGGGGATCAGCAGTACAGTAATCCTCTCCTGTGCTGTCCAGGGTTCCCCCCACTTTACTGTGTCCTGGTACCGTAACACAGAACCCGTGATGCCTGATCAGCACTTTTCCATCCAAGGAGCACACAATGAGACACTTTTCATCTCTGCTGCACAAAAAAGACACTCTGGGGCTTACCAGTGCTTTGCCTCGCGAAAGGGTCAGACTGCACAAGACTTCTCCATCATACTGCTAGAAGGTAAAGATTAAATCTTATTAACAAATTATTTTACAAGGCTGTTACCAAGTAATATTAGCACTAAGATTTTATATTTATTTTATATGCTATGTTTAGCTCAGTTGAACCAAAGGATTCCACTTCTGGCCTTTTCCTTTCTCAGATGGTACACCTCGCATCGTTGCCTCCTTCAGCGAACGTGTGGTTGTCCCCGGCGAGCCATTTTCTCTGATGTGTGCAGCCAAAGGAGCCCCTCCACCTACAATCACATGGACCTTGGATGATGAGCCTGTAGCCCGTGATCTGTCACGTGTTAGATCCAGCCAGTATACCCTCTCTGATGGAAGCACCGTAAGCTTCGTCAATGTCAGCAGCCCACAGATCCGTGATGGAGGAGTGTATCGGTGCGCCGCACGAAACTCGGCTGGTGGTGCTGAGTACCAAGCGCGCATAAACGTAAGAGGTGCCTGTCTACTTTTCAATATCAGTCATACAGAGGCTTCTCATAGCCTTACCCCTTACCCACCCTGACCAATACCCTCTGCTTTACCCTCCTAAATCTCTATTTCTATCTATATCTGATTTTTCTTACATGCAAAGTTTTAGGTTTTATTTTACTTTTTATTTTAACTCTCAAACTTACCTTTTTGAAAGCTAATTTCTTCTTATTACTGACAATTATATTTGTTGTATGACCTTCTTTTTCTTTTATTAATATACCTCTAAAATGTATTAAGTAGCATTGAGATACGCAAAGTAAACAAATGTAC